TTTCATAATGTATGGGAGTGATAGCATTTCCTGGTTTCTTGGTGCTGAAAAATTAAGAAAATCTCACACACTATTGTTTCATTATCCACACCCGAGTTCACACTTTCATAAACATCTTCCGTTCCAAGGGAAATACAAATAGTAATAATTTCATAAAATCTCAAGTATATGAGTAGATTGTGTATTGAATGTATAATTATACCATAATCTGTGGTTAATTAAACGCTCCAATCCTAGCCCTTCGCCGAATTTTTGGAACATTGTTTTTTTTAAACATCATGGGTTCTGCTAGCTTAATGGTGAAGCTAGTATAACCAATTATTTGAAAAAACAATGTGATAAAAAATCAGCAATAGGCTAGGATTGGATGCTTGATTGTCTGGAACAAGCATTAAATTATGGTATAATCAATTTTGTGATTGAACTTTTTCTGATTCGCCATTGGTTTGTCATGTTCACGTGATATTAGTGAAGCGTTTTGCAAAAATGATTAACAAAAAAATCGATAAAAGGCTCAACAAAGAGCCTAACCTAACCTAACCTAACCTAACCGTATGGTGTACTTATCATCATATTCGTTCAATTTGAGATTGCTAGAAAAAACCTACATGATTGAAAAAAACAATTCGCGAAATAATAGGAAATAGGCTGTGATCGGAACCTCAAATTATGGTTCGAATAACGGGTGTCGTTATCGTATACAGGCAATTTTATTTAATAAGATAGGTAATGGAAAAATTCAAAAACTACATTGAATGGCATTGAAGTACCTTCCTCATGACATAAAAAAATCTATTACTTTTGAAAGTTCTCTGGCAGCTATTCCCCACTTTTTATTTTCAAATGGCACTTCCCCCCTGTTGTTATTGAAAATTGCGTGCCATCATATAAGGAATACAACGATAGCAAATACTTGGTATTTTTCTATTATTATAACGAAAACAGCAACATTTAATGAAGTATGAATTTCAACTAAAATAGATTTTTAGGCGAATCAAAAAATTAACTGAAAAACACAGCACGTGTTCAAAATTATTATGACATGAGAAGCATCGGCTTCTTCAAACAAGGAACATGAGCGGAGGCAATATTTCATTTTTATAAGGATAATTGAGTAACTTGAAACAAATCACGAAATGATGATATTTTTGGTATCAATAAAAAAGTACCAACTATACGCTATCGTTGTATTCCAAATTGAGTGACACGTGATTTCCAATGACAATATACAGAGAATGCCATTTGAAAATAAAATGTGGGGGGTAGCTGCCAAATAAGCGAGATATTGCTTGTATACGATAACTTGGAACACCCGGTATATTTGTGCTTTCATCTACGGAGTGATTCCGTTAAGCTAGCAGAACCCACGTTTTTTTGCATAAATCGAAGAGCAATAAATTCAGCAATAGGATAATGAATTAGTCTTTAATTATGGTCGAAGAAAAAATTGGAAAATCTTAAGTGGCTTAATGGAGGCGAGAATGGAGGTGATCTATCGGTTGTGAGTATATTCTCATTCAGAGAGGGCAGAGAAATCCTACGCGGATCGGCCGGTTCTCCTGATTGTTCAGTGTCGATTCTTCGCAGGTTTCAGTGAAATGAATATTAAATAGCACTTTCTCGAATGGAAAACTGACACCCCTTCTTTGCATTCATGAATCATCCTGTATACATGACATCACATCATGACATCAACTCACACATCACAAATGATTATTGTCAGATCATCAGATGAATCACATAAATTAGACGGATATGGATCACGTCACATATTGACACGTTTAATAAAATGACACTTGCTGGAGTTCTTGTTAACTCGAAGGAATTGAAGAGAAGATGATCGACCAAAAGCATCAACCAGTTATTAGCGGCCACATAGTGACGTCACCGTTACCATGGAGAAGCCCCACCGAGCAACGTTTTCGGAACTGGCACATGCGAGAGGTCCATCCGCAACTTCAATAGTGACGTCAGCACGAAAACGTGTACTATTTTCATGAATATTTGATGATACTTATATGCTTCGAAGTTTTTATAGTATAGGACGAAGGAGCAGGTATGTTGATCGTGAATTGCAGATCATACTTCTAAGCCACGTGTAGATTGGTAAAATTCTTCAAGAACATTCGATGATGGCAATTATATTCTCGACACCGATCAGCTGAGACAACGAACGCTATGTTTTGATGCTATATTGATACCCGGGAGTAAAATGTTCATTCTATGCTATCTAGAATACGAACAGTCACTATGAATTGTGACAGTTCTCAATCACAATTAACTTTGAAACTGGCACAATAATTGTTATAATCGCATACTTGAAACTCATCTTGAAATCGAGCTTGAAACTCATTCTCGATAGATTCCCTGCCATCCACTTGCTATAAGAGCTATCCTGAAGATCCAAAATGGGCCTCTTTCAGTAGAAAAATATTTCATTATTTTGAAGTAAGTACTAAACTTGTTCACTGTCCCAAACCGTTTCCTCCTCAGAGCTCTGTACGTTTTTTTAAATAATTATTGAGATTCACGATATTTCATAACATGAAAGACGCGGGACAGCGTGTGACGTCATATAACGCTATCAATCACACACACTCTTACTGTGGAAGTACATTTTCATTTCTATGTAGAACGTGGAAATATTTTCATTGGTTTTTGAGCCATCCCAGCAGATACGATATAGCCAGCGATGCAATGTCCCATTGATTTAATCGATGGGCATACTGCTGGCACTATTTTCCGGTGATAAAAAGTTACCTGTTCATTGTTCATTGCTGTTTCAATGATATAATACGTAGGTTGCACTTTTATTGTGCTGGTACAATAGTATATTTCCTATGGATTTATGTGAATCAATAAACACTATTTTTAAAGCATTGGGGAATCAATGGGTATAATTCATTTTGCAGAGATCACTGAAACAGTACCTACCTACTGGTTGAATGATGAATAACGGATATAGGATCTCAATGCGAATAAGTCATCAATGAAATGAGAATGGACCATCATTATGTTTTTTCTATCCTTTTGTGCATGAGCCGTCATTTGTTGTTGTGAGATGATATGTGAAGTTTCAGTCCTGAAAACAATCTACTCCTACCTCAGACATGACTGACTTGAGTCTTCGTTTCGACCTAACTATATTGTTGCGGCAGGCTAGGTAATAAGCAGTTGTGATGTGATGTTTTTGAAATTCACAAATAGTTCAGTCCAGATACCAAAGAAGATTAGTTGTCGAGTTTTGGCCATTTTCCAGATATTCCAGGAATTACAATTAATATCAATCAACAGAATCGGAATTCGTGAACTCTTGGCTGATTGACCAAATCAGATGATATATAACTGAATACGGTATAGTTTCATTGTAATAATAATTATCATCATTATTATCATTAGTGAAGTAATATGTTTCATGCTTAACCTCAAAATTCTCTGTGTGAGAATAAACTACTCATTTTCCATTCGGAATGCACTGAAAATACGTCAGTCGGTCATCACTGGGCCAACAAGGAATAAGCAGCCCAATATTGGTATTAATTCGGCAAGTGCGGACAACTTTTGTGATTCACCATTGAAAAATGCCAATATTAGGCCAATAATAGTTCATTTTTCTGAAAGTGATGGCCCATTAAGTAATATTTGCTGGGAAAAAGCACTAATAGTGCTTATCGGTATGTCACGTCTTCGAGAACTATATAGCGTTTTTGAGAGGTGATTATTTCGATCATTCAAAAAATATATTTGTAATGATTTTAAATAATGTATCACTGATGGTGGATTTATGCAGCAGTATTAAGTCTTAAGTTTTAAGTCGTAAGTATTAAGTAGGTAATAAAGTCTTAAGAAGTTCAGCCATTGCTTTTCAGTATAAACGTTCACGGGTCATAAACAGTGATAAGTTTTAAGTCGTAAGAAAACTTCGCCAACATTCATCTCTTACGACTTACGACTTGAAACTTATGACTAATTTGCTCTGCGCATGAGCCGTGCGCCACCATTTGTAATCTCGGTTTAGTTTACATTTGTTATAATCAAATCCAAAACAGATATTTGTAACTGCTGAATAAAAAAAACAATTTTATGTTACCTCAAACATGTATGAAATTGATAGACGATACGCATAATGAGCTGATGAAGGGGTGTTTTTCATGATATGACAGTCCTAATGATTGCATGCATGAATTACCATTTTCCCCTAACGATTTAAAACTTGTGACTTAAAACTTATGACTCAGAACTTAATGCTTAAATCTGCTGCATGAATGCACCATGAAGGAAATACTATTATAACATGGATGATCAGAATAAAGCAGATATTATAGCCCAAATTCGACTAGAGTGAACAACCAATCCCATTAGCAATTATTGGTCTCCAGCCTCGTGAGTGGATTATCATTACGATACATAAACAATAATTATGTAGTTTATTTCAGCAAAAATATAGAACGCATATATCTAATGAATGTTAATGATACTTAAAGAAGCATAATAATCACTTACTTCACTTCACGTTACGGCTTTCGATGACATGAAGTAGAGTGTTACCTTATGAATATGTATGTATACGTATACCAGTTAATACTGGTGCTTGTTAACCAGAATGACGTCACCGCAACAACTCACGGCATTCTGGTGACAAAAATAATTATTACATTGTTTTGCTATATTTCTTCATTGTTTTGGTCGATGCTTCAGGGTACCTCGGTGATAATACTCAACAGTCCGATAACAGCCCAGTCATTTATGATGATCATTCATCCAGTTGGTAGACATTTGGCAGCGACCTCGACAGCGACACAACCTCGGACACAACATAGATAATGCCAGTGAGGGTCAGCCGGTATTTCCGAAAAGCTGGTCCAGTCACCAGTAAGGCCCATCCCACAGTTTTTTGGAGACATTTTCGTCTGACCTAGATCGGGAGAGGATAGCGTCGGAAGAGTCTACGTCACTAAGAGCGTGTCGAATCGGCTAGGCTGAAAGAGAGGATTACTCACTTCTGTGGCAGGCCCAAGGTAGCGGTCGCCCCAGGTGGATGTCAGGTTGACATGGGTCTCCGGAAACGGCTAATCTGCAGCTGTAGCGCCCTTATCGCACCCAAGCACTGCACGCACTCAAACTGCTCAAACTCAACTCGGAGTCTCGCACTTCGCCCCGCACCGAGCCGTTCTCTGTTCTGGCCTGGCTATTCTCGTGGAGTTTCAGTGCGGGAGATCGACGCTAGGGGCGCTGCATGCCGTGGACTGTGTGGCTGTCCTCTCCTGCTCTGCAATGTCCTGTGATGTCGGACGATGGCAGAAATAGCGTCGGTTCACGGTTGCCCCGCAGTTTTAACGCGCCGCGAAGGAATGGATGATCGAAAAGGACGCTTCTTGATGGCCTCTCGCCGTAAAGGATTGTCGCGACGCCAACGTCGCGACGCCAAACGTCATCTTCTTGTGCGCCGTCGTACGAACCGATGGTCCGCGAGCAGATATCAATTTTTACGGCGACGAGCGACGACGGTGCTATAGTGCAGTCAATGTTATCTCTGTTTTCATGAGATTTCCTTATGACGTTTAGAAATTCTGTATGTGTAATGGGTGATGCTCCAGGTAGCAAAGGGACCTAAAAAGACGTAATATCGATATTTGGTCAGATACGTCTTTTGACCAAAATATGACCTACAAATGACGTCATATTTCATGACGTTGTATTGACGTACTATACTGGAGGTCTTAATGACGTCCATACAAAGTCCTACAATTTTCCGTTCGACTAAATAAGAGAAATCAGTCGTTTTCTTATACCTTTTTATCGTCTGTTGTACTAACCCAGGCAACCAGATGACGTTTCAGCGAGCGTTTCAGTGACGTCTCTTTACGTCAGTTGAATGACCATGTTGAGGTCAGGAGTTGACGTCGTATGACGTGATAAATGACGTAAAATTAGTCACAGCCCAATGACGTCATATCATTCACGTTTATTGACGTCATTCGCTCACCAAACTGTGAATGTCGTTCAAATTTGGTGATGACACGTAAAAAAGTTTCCTCGAACATGGTGTGATAATCACCACTGACCTCTGATAACATATATAATATTGATTATGCATTGTTGATTCTGCTTGGTGGTCCCTCCGGTGTCATGTCCATTCAATCGTCTATTCAGCAGCGCTCTCCCTCAGTACGCATCTCCATCAAAATGAAATCAGTTACTCGGATAATGTATCAAAAATTATGTAGTTTGTGTCGGCGAGATGTGAGCAAACCAATAATAGTTTGATAGCAATGAAAAGGATGTTTTCGAAGTTAGCTTCACTTTGTTGAGTAACGTATATTCATGCATCATTTATTGTCACCCAACAAAAATCTTAATAAATAGCAAATTATTGAAAAATTGTCTGAATGACGAAGCTCACCAAATTGGTACGTCACACCGACGTGCATGATTTTTAGACGTCATTGATACGTCACTGCAACGTCATTGAAGTGACGGTTTCAATATAGGTACACCTATATTATCATTTGTATATATAAATATATTTAGCTTGATTGGTTTCCAAGATATACAGGGTGTCAAAAAAAGTTTTCTCTTACTTTTGGGAATATATAATCCCAATAAAACTTGCATGTTGATGTGTTTCAATGAGTTATACTTCTATCGACGTTACAAGCATATACAGGGTGATTCAAAAGTAAGCGGCATCCTTTCAGAGGCGTATTCCTTGCTTGAAAATAAGGCAAAAAGTTCCTATTGATAAGGATCCGAAAATGCTTCCTAAGGGAGCTACGGCCCTTTGAATAGGACACCTCAAAGACGGTTTTTTCTCTATAACTTTAAAATCCTTCACAACAAATTTTTAAAAATTGGTGTACGGCATAAACATTCGATGGTAAATAGGACTCCGTATTCGAAATAATTTCCAAACGAAATCACAGTAACCTGAATATCCGGAGAAGAAGGGATATTTTTACACTTACCCTCTCCCGCATGTGACGCCCCTGAATGAAATTCTGAAATTTCGAATACGGAGTCCTATTTACCATCGAATGTTTATGCCGTACACCAATTTTTAAAAATTTGTTGTGAAGGATTTTAAAGTTATAGAGAAAAAACCGTCTTTGAGGTGTCCTATTCAAAGGGCCGTAGCTCCCTTAGGAAGCATTTTCGGATCCTTATCAATAGGAACTTTTTGCCTTATTTTCATGCAAGGAATACGCCTCTGAAAGGATGCCGCTTACTTTTGAATCACCCTGTATATAAAAGGACCAATACGTTTAAGTTTCTATATATGTGTGTAAAATTGATGAAAAAATGATTTTTTCTGAAAACTTTTCGACACTGAAAATGCCCATCCTGTATACATAGGTACGTCACAAAACTAACGATTTCACAATGTAAGTATACATGGTTTAGATATGGTCTGGGACCATGGACGTCGACAGGACGTCCCTGCAACGTCAAGAAACTGACGTCTTATTTTACCCTTCTAAGTGACGTTCACTAGACGTCGAGATGATGTGACGTGATTCTCACGTCTTAGAAAGTACGTCATAGTGACGTCATAAATTCAGGTGTGACGTCTATGACGAAAAATCTACAATTAGGGCCGCCACAGTGACGTGATCATTCGTCATACGGTTGGCTGGAAAATTTGTGTTTGTATAATAAGTATACATTTCCTTGCAACGTGAAGCTTAATTCGCGAACTTCTGTTACATTGCTATCAAAAAACTACTATTAGTCCGTTTACATCTCGACGATGCTTGCTACAACTTAAGATCAATTGGATACGAGTAGCAAAGCATATTGTCATATGAATATAAGTACTATTCATTGAACAGGACTGCCCAGAGGGCCATCGATGACCAAATCACCACAACGCAGAGTTACAAATGAATTTCTTCAAACCCAAATACCGTATATGTATACAGGGTGCCCGTTTTTCGAGCTCGACCATGGGGGTCCCAGTTATCATAAGAGATACGAGGTCGGTTAAATTAGGGCAAAGTTGCGCATTTTCATGCTGAACATTTATCTTCAAGAAAATTTGATGTTTTAGTTTTTGAATTATTGGAAGAAAACGAGAATTTGTGAATTTTATTTTTATGTTTTCAAGCGGAAACCAAAAGACCTAGACGTTTCGAACTTAAACATTCTCAAGGCACTTTCTTGCAAGGAATCTGAATCTGCCATCGTATTTTCCATGACTTTCTTGATGGAGAAGTTACAACACTCAACTTTGTTTCCTCATATGGGCGTCATATTGGATTGTCGCATTCTTGAAAAGCCTTTTTTTTCATCACATTGATGTATCGATATGATCGAATCTTACATGTTGATCAAAATAGGGAAAACATTATTTTTGCGAAGAGTGCTTTGGAAAGAACGCCAGCAGTTTTAACAAACTGAATCCCGACAGAGGTCAACTAAATATGAGAATAGAACTGTTGAATCAATGTAAGCTAGATACAAGAATGCCGTTTTCGAATGAAGAAAAGCGCAAAATACGTCCGAAATGTATCTCCAGCGATAACCCGAGAAAGAGCAACCAGCTCAGAATTATTTTTCATTGCTCCATGAATAGGACAGATTATGGTTCATTCCTTCAAGATCAAGAACGTTCATGGAAAATACGATAACAGATTCAGATTCCTTGTGACGTCATAATGATATATTTTATCAAATGGCATGCCATATATTTTTTTGCATAATGCGTGCCTCTAGTGGTAACCTACATAATCCTGGAATTTAAAAACTGAAATCGGTTCAGTGATATTCACGTACAAAAATAAAAACAAAATGTTCAATTTTGTACCACTGGTCAAAAACATTATTAACAAAAACAGAGTGCCTGCTCAACAAAATCATAAGGGGTACATATTATCAAATAAGGCCTCAGAGGATCGCTAACCGAGTTTGATAGACAGGAATCATCACAGGGTGTGCAAAATTTAGTAGCAAACTTTTCAAATTTCAAAGCACTATTTTTTTAATTCCTAATTGAAGCCCCTGTATATTTTCATGTCATTCGATCCCTAACAACACGAGTACATTCTAGGAACTTCCCAGGGACGTCCCTGATTTTGTACTTGGACATCCGAGGGATATCCATTGTCGGGACATAGTACATACTAGGGACATCTCAGGGATATCCCCTTTTCGACAAAAAAGACATCCTGCTACGTCCCCGGGATGTACAAAGTACGTCCCAAGGATATTCAAAGGACATATCCCTTCGACAAACCCTGCCAAAAATACCTTATGAAGTCTCATGAAGAAATATAGATAAAATATGAGTATTAATAAGGATATATAACCGAGTTCTGTAGCGTATGAGTACATCATCTCTGGCACATGAACTTTCTAAAAGGTTTAATGATATTTCATGAGTATATGTGATTTATAAGCGTATACAAATATGGAGTATGAGAGTTTTTATCAGGCACAAGTGGTTTGAGGAGCCTATGACCACCAATAAGATATTCCACTTCCAATTGGAATAGTATTCTATGCACATTCATGCGCCTTAGTATATATGAGAAATGTGTAGGAATTCACAAATAGAATTCTATTGGGTATCGTCAGGAAAAAAATATATCAGGATTTTAGAGTTTCACTAAGGAATTCCTTATCTGATTTAATGCGATTTCTATTAGCATTCATGTGACTCAGAATAACTGAGAATTTACGAGTTTCAATTAGACAATGAATGCCTAATCTGAAATGTGTCCAATGAGTGTTTATAAGACAACTAGTTTCTAGGTTTATGAGCTCAAATATGAAAACACGGTTCTAAAATTATAGGTTTCTTATCAGCTTGAATCCGGTAAATAATTATTGAGTAATCATAAGTTTTTAAAAGACAATATATATATAATCTTTAACGTATTTCATGGGTTTTTGTGAGGGTGAAAAGTGTTCGATTAATTATGATATTCAAGTATGTTATGATGTTTCATGCGTTATTACTGTCTAAGAATTCTGGACAATACATGCCTAATCTGAATGGTATCTAATAAGTTTGTATGAGATGTGTTAGTTCTGAGGATTTTTGGGGTTTGAAAAGACATTACTGATTTGAAACGGAATGTATCCTATGGGTCATGCTGAGGCTTGATGTGTATCAAAACTGATGGGTGTTGATAAGGATATACCATTATGACCCCAATGGTATTCTGAGAGGTTTTATGCGGGATTGCTGTATAAGGATCCAAGATTTTGGATTAGACAATACATGTCTGATTCGAAATGTATCTGATCATTTTTTATGAGATATGTATCTCATGAGGAAATGTTTGTTTAAGGATTCATGAGAGTTGATAGGGATTCACCGTTATGACTGTATCCATACGTTCCAATGAATGATGCGTTATTGGGATTCACGAGTTTTGATAAGACAATACATGTCTAATCTGTATAGTAACTAATTAGTTTGTATGAGATGTGTA